AAAAAAACAATAATATCATGAAATTTGCAGGCAAATGGATGGAACTAGAAAATATCATCTTAAGTGAGGTAACCCAGACTCAGAAGGACAAACATAGTATGTACTCACTCATAAGTGGATACTAAATGTGAGGGAAGGGATGGCCAAACTGCAACCCACAATTCCAGAGAGGCTAGCTAACAGGGAAAAAGACCCTAGGAGGGACACGTGGATGACCCTGTGAAGGAAAAGTGGATGAGACCTACATGAGTGGGCTGTGGGGGGTCAGCAGAGGGTGAGGAGTAGGGGAGGAGAACATAGGGAAATGGGACAGTCAAGCTGGAACAGGGACAGAGTGGGAGGGCAGGGAGGAAGATACCATGATAGATGAGAATATGGGAATAGGAAGAGGCAGGGTGCTGGGGAGGCTCTCAGGAATCCACAAGGTTGACCCCAACTTGGTCTGCTGGCAGTGGTCCAGAGGGTGCCTGGACCTGTCTTCTACTCTAGTGACCAGCCTAGCAAATAACCTAGCTGTCATCATAGAGCCTTTGTCCAGTGACTAATGGAGGCAGATACAGAGATCCACGGCCAGGCACCAGGCTGAGCTCTGGGAATCCAACTGATGAGAGAGAGGAGGGATACTGCAGGCAAGGGGCGTCGAGATCATGATGGGAGGATATGCAGAGATGACCGGCCACACCAGTAGAAAACCATGAACTGTGGACTGGTGGCTGTGGAGCCCCCATGGGACTGGACTAGGCCCTCTGGATATGGAAGATGGTTGTTTGGCTTGAACTGTTTGGAGGGCACCCAAGCAGGGTGATTGGGATCTATCCCTGGTCTATGGGCAGGCTTCTGGAACCCGGTGCCTGTGGTGTGACACCTTGCACAGCCTTGGTGCAGTGGGAAGGGGCTTGGACCTGCCTAGACTCAGTGTGCTGGGCTCTGCTGACTCCCCATGGGAGACCTCGATTTGGGGGATGTGGGGATGCAGAGTGGCTTGAGAGAGGGCTTGGGGGTGAGAGGAGGGAGAAGGGGGGTATCTGTGGATAGTATGTAGAGTGAGTAGAAAATTTCTTAATAAAGAAAAATGAAAGAAAAAAAAAAGATGGCATGCCACCAAGTCTGACACCTGAATTCACACCTGGGGACCCACATGGCGGAAGGAAAGAACTGATAAACCCAAAGTTACCCTATGATCTCTAAAATATGCCATGATACACTCAATCATGTATACAGACACGCAAACACATACACACACACGCAAACACAAACACACAAAAAAAAAATTAAAAAGACTGCAGGGGCTGGAGAGGTGGCTCAGTAGTTAAAAGCACTTGCTGCTCTTGAGGAGGACATGGTGGTTTCCATCCACCTACAAGAGGAGGTACACCACCACCTATGACTCATGCTCCAGGGGATCTGATGCTCTCTTCTGGCTTCTTCAAGCACTGCATGTATATGGTATACACACAGACAAAGAGGCACACATACATACACAAAAATACAAATAATTTTATTGTTTTGGGGTTTTTTGTTTGTTTGTTTTTTTCAAGACAGGGTTTCTCTGTGTAGCCCTGGCTGTCCTAGAACAAATAAATATTTTTTT